CAATATAAATAAAGTTCATGATAACCAGTTCTTATGTTTATTTATGTACGTACACAGAGTTTTTGATTTTGTAAAATATTCCTTTGTTGTATTTAGCTGACTATTTCATAAAATAAAAAATTTATATACATCCAAAAGTAGAATTTACAATAAACCTAAGGAACCAAAAACTTCCAATCCCTACCAAGATGAGTTGAAGTGTAAGTCAGGAAGCGACGGCATTTCAAGCAAGAAATAGCAATTTCTGCAACTCTTACACGCTAAACTTAGTGAAAAAATCCCGCTCCGAATTCACTCTTCAGTTTTTCGATCTGGATCTGAATTCTAACAAACGGCAAGCATGCTATAGGACACGAAATAACCCAGTACTTAATATATTTCATATTCATCTATCCATTTTTGCCAACACCATTGTTAACCATTCATTCAGTTGCCGACAACGCAGATTATGCCAAAATTACGCTCAAGTTTCAATAGCTTTTAAAATGAGAAAACTGCTGGCATCCACTTGCAAACTAAAATCGTAACAAATATCTACCGCTAAAACCTGCATAAATGCTACTGGATGTTCATAACATACATGATTTGATTTACCTGTCACATCATAAGCATAAAATCCGTTAATATTTCTGAGTCTTTATCTATTATATTTTGTATAAACTTCTAAAGAATTCAAAAAATATAGCAGTAATTTTTGAAGTAGAATCCTGATCGCATAAGAAAGAATCAAAAACAACCTAGTAAGAACAGTAAAGTTATCAGTGTTAAGTTGAACATCAACGATTATATACAACACATTTAAGCTGTTTCATAAAACAAGTGAATCTCAAAGGAACCAACCTGAATGGCTCGTTGCCAACACACCATTAAAATTCCCGCAAGTCTACTGTAGATCTTACCTGCACTGTGAGTTCAAATAGGTGTCCCAACGGATGCATAGGTGATTGTAGTTGATAAGTGTTCTTTTTACAGTTCGATTTCGGGTACACTAACCAAAGGTTTATTTTTAAATAAGGTATAAGAAATATCAGGGTTTTGACTTCTTATAAGTTGAGCACCGGAGACTGTCATTTTTTGTGCAGTACCGATTTTACAGAGTTCGAAAAAATTCTTCTCCCGGATTTAATATTTACTTGTTTGACACGACCAGTAATATAGTTACACTACAGTTATGCTGATAACATTCTTCTTTATCAGTAATTTGTTGTGAGGATTTACATTGCATATTCGTCTGAAAATGTATGTTTGTGTATTCGTAGCGACTGTTGAAATTACGACTTATAAAATACGTATAGACTGAAGAGGACGTTATATCGCCTTATCGATTAGTAAAAAGGTCAAAAAGGAAAACCAAATGCTGCATCGTTTTGATGATTGGATTTAGAATTTTTATTACAGATCTACTTTGTTTAAAATAGTGCCAAAAAATATATAT